AGTGTTCCCAATTCCAACACATCTATCTTAAACAGCCTCAAAAAGCAGAACCCTCTATTGTTATTTTAGCTTTATGAAGAAAAGTATAATCCCTTGGAAATTGAGACAGACAACAGAGTTCTCTCTGGGGTTCCATTACCCTTGTTGTCCCCACTGCTGGATCTTGTTGGGCTTTGCTGGGTGAGGTCCGATGAGCATGTGGTGACTGACATGGGCCTTGCTGGTGCCTGCTCTCTTTTGTTAGAAATTCCTGCTACAACAACAGGGCTGGCAAGAGGGACTACAAGTGTTCAGCCTCCAACTACTGCAAAATGAGGTAGAATATCTCCACTTAAATCACTGGTGAAGGCAGATCTGGGCTCAGGATAAACATAAGCACAGTCCTGCTCTTCTCCCTCTGTTCCACTCCAACAGTTCTCTCTATTACAAGGGCAGAGCAAGCTACATAGCACCAGCAGTTTAAACCACCATGGGAAGGTTTGCCAGGATTGCCTGAACCCCTTTGCATCCTTCTCTGGGTGTCTGTAGACAGATTCAGATGACTGTGTTAATACAGACATGAGTCTGAATGGTTTATGGCATATTTTTAGATTTTTCAATGAAGCAGCATGGAAGCACAAAGTGGTGTTTTTGTGCCTCCCTGCAATGACAACTCTAATGAAGTATTGCTGAGCAAAGTTACCCAAAAGACTATGCTCTTAATGTGTCGTTTGTTATGCACACGTAATGAGTTTCTGATTCCTTGGTTATTTTGCAATAAGAAAAATTGTTTAGTTTCACGGTGCATCACAGTATTCAATGAGCTTGCCCCTTGGGAACCCAGAGAGCTTTTGAATCTTAATATAGACATCTTTCAAATAAGATCATTAATGTGCATATATCTAGATTTAGAGCCAGTGCAAGCACTTCAGTTTTTGCCTGCCATATTTTCTTTTCTGGCTTCTTTGCTTCCCATATATTCAAAGAACTTTACCACATGGAATCCTTTAAACGATCGATGGGATAACATAATTTTTCAATTGCTCTTGAAAAGGTTTTTAACCACATAAACTATTCTAGGGTTTGCTAAGAAGTTACCATTGCAAATAATGTAATTGTTCCAGACTACATTCCTTGCATTGCAGTATAACTTTTGAAGGAAAGAGCATGACTGGTTTGGGATTTTTAACCAACCTCTTTATGGTAATACTTAGATGAATGTAAATTTTCTCCAAAAGCTTTGCATTAAAGAGAAAGAACCAAAGCCTACAAACACTCATGTCTGCAGGACTAATACCTAATGCTAATGAGCCATCAATCTCAACAAGAGGAAAATAAATATTTAAACACTGGGAAACTCAGGGCACTTTTTTATTTAAGCTTTTTTATTTGCTTAAATAAAAAAAGGAAAAAAAAAACAGTTGACAAATTCTGGCAAACCTAGAAACATTTAAAGTACAAGCAATAACTTCTGGTTTCCCTCTTTTCTTTTCCTAGAAGGCCAAGTCTGTTACTTGCCTGTTGAATGAACCCAAGGCTTGCTGCTGGGAACGGCTGAGTGCTTCCTCAGAAATGTGTGCAGTTTCTGTTCTCTCGGGCTTCACCTGCAATAAGAACAATTTATTTTTTTTTTCTGGTCATATGTTTACTTTCTCCATCCAAACCATATCAGGTCTTTATTGTTGCATTAATCTAAAGGCAATGTCTTTTTGCGGTTTGTCCAGTGAAGGAGACCAAAACCTTCACTGTGTAATGCCTGCTGGTTGAGTCACCTGGGATACAAGCTGTTGCTCCAAAGTTAGCTCTCCTAGTTGCTCAGGCAGACAGTCCTCACTTCTGCAATTTTCTTCACTGTGGAATGGCTGCGGAGTCTAGCTTGGCAAGCAGCTTCCCAAATCTACCTTGTTACTCAGCTTTCTTGGATGAATTGAATTAAACAGTGGGTGGTTTATGAGATGAACTACATTGGGGAGCAGGGCCTGTAATTCGCTGCATACTCCTACCATGCAGGGCACAATGGAATCAGACTAATTTGTGGCCAGCAGGCCAGCACAGCAATATAAATAGGAAACAGCACACTTTGCTGGAACTTTTTGATCCCTGTTTTAATTCTGTTCTACAAGCCAGCTTCTCATTTGCCACACATCAGCCCCTTTCCACTGAATTCACACCAGATGTAGACTTGGCCTTGCAAGTCAAGAACTTCAGTTTCTCTTTTTAAAGTCTGTGCTTTTTGTAGAATCGGCTTAGTTACGGTACAAAACAACGGTATCTTGTACCATTTGAAAGCAAAGGAATTAGCTCTGTATTTTATTAGCTTTGCTTCCCAGTAAAACAAAGCCGCTGTGATCATACTCCTCACTGGCCTGATCACAGTCCCAGTCCCCTGATCACCCACATGGAGGGACTGGCTGTGACTTCTTCCTAAGCTGTGTACTTTGCTTCAAGTGGATGTAAAGCATATGTAATTGGGTCTTCTCCTGACACAGAGTTGGGACATAGCCAAGGTAACTCAACCGGACCTAGGATTTGGGGCTAGTTACACAGATAAAGGCAGCAATCATTACATTCTTCAAAGCATAATGAAAATACATACTTCGGTTGAGATTAAAGTGCTGCAATGAAAGAAAAAGGGATAAAGCAAAGCCACAGAAAAAGATCTTTTTACAAGTTCAAAAAAGTAGGAAAAGTTTTAATTTTGAACTTAAGTGTTCAAAAGGACTGAAGGCAGTCAACCACAAGACACAGATCTATCAGGAAAACAGATTTAATTAGCTCTCCTGCTATTTATTTATTTATTAGGGAAAAAAAAGAAAATGCTTCTCTCCTGGATGTGTTATGTAAATGGGTTCACTATGCCCTACCCAACCAAATTACCACGGTCCCCTTCAGTTTACTCTGGGTCTCCAGACAACCACGGACTGTACACACTTGCTGCCTGTCACTGGATGTTACTGTTTAAACAAAAGCTGCCAACTTATCTTCTGCAGTAAGCCTGCAAGATTAAATTTCAGGCAGAGTGCAAGGTGACAGCTCCTCCTGCAGCTTGCTCTAATGAGCACACACCTTTCTGCCTGCTGCTTGTGGTACTAATGCTGAAAACGCCTGTGCTAGACTTTTAGGCCAAATATATTTGATAAAAGTGCATGTAATTCTAGGAGCTTAATTATCGCTGGAGAAAATTATTCTGATGAATGAACAAGTCTCTGCCCACCTGCAGCTCTCTGGAACTAACTCAAGTGTCATTGATTCATTAACACAGCACTTGTCTAACATTTACAGCATGGAGATTGGGATTTGGGCCTTTTGGTCTCTGCTGGTTCTGCCACTGCAAGAGGCCTGTTTCCATGACTGCAAACTGCTGTTAGACTTCGCTTTGTGCTTTTCAGGTTTAGCTGAGTCATGTTGGAAAAGCCTTTGAGACCAAGACTATAAGGACTACAAGTGATTAGCACTAAATAGTACATTTTGGGAGGCACAAAGGAAGTTACCCAGTTGTCCCAGGTTTCAAGACATTGTGAATAGATACTCCATACACCTTTGGATTTGTCAAGTCCAATTGCCATCCAGAAAAAGGAAGAAAGATTAAGTAAGAACTATACCGATAAAACTAGTACATTGGAGAACAGGAGCGGAAAAAAATATATATGAGCTCCTTGAGGAGTTATCTGTCCTTCTTCAAAATTCTGTATAAAACCCATTTAATATTTAAACTTGGGAGTTTTGATGCAGATTTTGTAATGTTTTGATTCCAACAGTCAATATTTTTGTGGTGGAAGTGACGGAAGGGATATGCCATTTATCCTTTCATAAGTGTTTGTAGGTAGACAGTTATCAAGCTTGATATTATCTTACTCTCTTTGCAGCAGGGAGTGATGCTTAAGGGTTTGATCCCTGACCAATTGGCACGAGCAGTTTTGCCTGGACACCAAGATGAAAGTAGCTGTTAATATGGGTGGTTGGGGGCACTCATTGTAACACACACAAGGATAAAGTTCCCAGACTTCAGTTCCCACAGTTAGGACTGGATTTTCTAAATGATTTATTGTGCTGAATGCTTATAATATCCAGCTACTTCTAAAAGAGCATACGCAGGAGCCAAGAAATTTTTGAAATGGAGCTCAAGTGATAGAAACTCAGTCCTTTGAGCATTTTGTCACTAAGCCAGCAATTCTGTGACCATTTGTCAATTCCAAGTTCTCCAATGAAAAGAAAAGCCTCACATCTCACACTGGAAACATGGATTAAGTAAGTCTTTACTTCGGGACCACTTTTTACAACAGCAAAAACTGAGAAGATTTAATTCAACTTGGGCAAAATAAGTAACTTAATCAAAATTGGCAAAATGTATAGGAATAATTGTTAAAGACTCCCTCTATTTCACTTTTGTATTTAAGTGAAAATGTAATATGAAATGCAGAATGTAATATGTCTTGCCGTAACAAATTGTTTGATAGCAAGGCCTAAAGAAAGGTGGCTAAAAGCAAGGGGTAGGAATGAAGCCCTGTGAGCCCCAGCTTAAAAATGTCTGATTTTTTTATGTGCAATCTGTAAGACAACCAGAAAGATCTTGATCTTGGCAGGATTTGTTATAATACTATCCACTGCAGTGTTGTTTTCTGTGGGTTTATATGCCCCTGAAGGATGCACATGTCTTTCTGTATTGAAAAAGGCTGGGTTTGAGGTGTATTTTCCCCGTCAGGTGGAAGGATTCACACAATGTCAACACAGACCAAGGCCTGACTTGGGGAGGGGAAGAGCTCCCGTGACTGGACTCCAGACTCCATCTCCCCAGCCCACGCCTGCATCCCTCTCCGCATTAAACACCAGAAGAGCATTTCGTTGGTGCTAAAAGCTAAAACACTTTTACAGGAGCGGCCCCAGGGATATTCCCCGGGCCGGGCAACCCCGGAGCCCTTCTCTGGAGGCCACTCGGGGCCGGCAGAAGCCGGGCGGGAGCCTCCAGAGGGCCGGGCGCGGCCCTTCCCTTCCCGCCCTGCCGGCCGTGAGGTGACAAAGCACCGGGCACGGGGCCGGGGGGAGGCGGCCGTACCCCGGCCCTCACGGCCCCGGTGGCGGCGGCCGGTGCCGTGGTGGCACCGCGGGCGCCTGCGCGGCGCTCCTCCTCCTCCTCCTTCTCCTCCTCCTCCTCCTCCTCCTCCTCCTCCTCCCGCCGGCGGCGGCCGCTGTCAGGATGAGGCGGAGGAGGCGGAGGCCCAGGCCGGCAGCTCCCGTCTCTCGCCGGGGCCCCCTGGCGTAGCGGTTCCCGCTCCGACGCCGCGGCTGGAGGCGGAGGAGGCCGCGGCGGCGCCGCCCGCCCGCCGGAGCCATGGCCCAGCCGGGCCCGAGCCCCCCGACGGACGGTAAAAGGGGGGGGACGCGGCCTCGCTGCGCTGCTCCGGGCCGGGCCGCCGCGGCCTGCCCAGCCCCGGGCTCGCCTGCGGAGCTCCGCCGGCCTGGGTGGCGGCTGCGGGGAGCCCCGCAACCGGGGGGGGGGGGAGGCGGCCGGGAGAGGCCCTGTGGGGACGGAGGGGCCCGGCTGGGGGCTGGGAGGCCGTGGTGGGGTAGGGGCGGCTCCCCCAGCGTGGTGGGGCCGGGGGAGGCCCGGCGGGGGGAGGTTGGTAGGGCCGGGGGGTGCTGCCGGGCAGGGCTGGCGCGGTGCTGTGGCCGCAGCAGGTGCTCGGGGGCTGGCCTGGCGCTGGGCGTGCAGCCACCAGGAGCCCCAGAAGGCTGAGGTCGGGATCCCGGCGGGGAGAGTTGGCTCCTGTGCTGGAGGAGACAAAGGAAATGACAGCTCGCCCCTCGGGAGGAGCCCTGGCTACCTGTGTAGGAGCACGATAAGCTGTCCTGGAGGTTTTTGTCAGCAGGAGGTTATTTGTTTTGGGAGGGATTACAGACAAGGAAATATGATTTTATTTTTTTTTTTTCCATGGATTAGGTTACAGAGCTGTGTATGGATCAGAAGAGCTGTAATCAGTGCTTGGTTTGGAGATGGGATTGAAGGGACAAGTCCATCTGGGCATCCCAGAGCGTGTGGATGTGTGGGGAAAGGGCAGGAGAGCAAGAAACTGAAATTGAAGCTGGTCATGCTGGAGGAGGGCTGGGGAGAGATGCACAGAGCCTTGAAGGATAGGTGCTTACCCGGGCATGGCGCTATGCCAGAGCTCTCTCTTTTTTTTTTTTTCTTTTTTCTTTTTAGAGAGCAGATGAGTTTCCCTGGGAAAGTACTGTTAGAAAAGGGCAATCATGTATTCTTAATTATGCATATCTAGGGAATTGTGTGGGCTTTTTTTTTTCTTGGTGCCGTTACACAAGAAAGTGCTAATAATCTATGGGGATTTCGGTCTACCTTGTCAAAGTGTTAATGATGGAGGTGCTTGGATTTTTTTTATTTTTTACTTATATTTTTCTCCATTAAGGTCAATAATTGCATGGTCGTCCTGTGAGAGCACTAGGGGGAAGGTGAATTTACTTGCTGTCGTGACTGTAAGGTTGCTCTTGGTATGGGTTACTCGTGTGCTTTGTGGCAAATAACCATTGTTTATTGTTCTTTAGCCTTTTCTTGTGAGAGCTACAGAACAGCTTGCGACGATTTTTCTTCTTGGCTCTTGCAGAGAATCTGGCTGTAGGTGTGCAGTGGAACTGAGCAAATGTTTGCTGCTTCTTGACCAGGAAAGGTAGTTGTATGTTAGCTGTGTGTTAGAAGTTACAAGTTGGATAGAATTTTGTTCTTGCTGTTGTTTAAAAAGACACAAAGGTGCGAGTAAAACTTAGTAATTTGGTAGGTTGATGAAGTCTGTCTTGTAAGAGGTATGGGTTGCTGTCCTTCTCATGTCTTTCATCTGTGGAAAGATGAGGATACTGTAAATAAGACCCATGGTTGGGAGGGAAGTGGCTGGAAGTTGGATGGATTCTGAAAGTTGTTGCTGTGTCCTCGCACTGATGAACTTAGAGCTTCTAAAATGGCTCCTCTCCCCCATCCTTTGGCAGTGATAGGCCCAGTTTTTGGTTTTCTTTTCATCCACTTTTATCACTCTACTGCAGTTCTCAAGCCTGACGGGCTTTTTTTTTCTTTTGTGTAACTTGCAAAAAGTGTGCCTTGAAACTTCTCCGTTGTGTTTTAATATGGAGAAAAAGTAGAAGTGATTTATTCAGTGTTTTTGGCCGTCCGCATTGAATTTATTGCTCAGAGGAGCAATGTAATTTCTGTTTTAAGGTTACATGTGACAAACCAGCACTGGATTAGTATGGCCCTTCAAGAAAAAGTTACAGCTTTTGTATAATTACTGACATTGGTTGTAAATACTGTGCGCATTCTTTACCTGTGCAAGACGCATTGGCTACATTTTTTTGTTGTTGAAAGCAAGTATAAAAGAGTCTCATTAAAAAAATAATAATGAAACAATGTGAGAGGAATATTATATTAGAATATATATTCAATTCTAAAGCCCATACTGAAATGAAAATGGTACCAAAAGAGAGGTAGAGTAACACAAAGAAAGAGGAGAAGAATGGATGTTGGGTCCTACCCTGTTTTTGTACTTTGGCTTAGTATAGAAGTTAATAACCCTCTAATTCTTTTGTATGGGGTAATAGAGTTTCCATATGATAACAATCGCAAAAGGCTAAGTGCAGAGTCCTCTGGCTGCTCATGTGGCTTGGTGCACTGTGCTGTTAACTCTTAGCTGATTGTGGCAACCTCTGCTGCAAGTAGGTGTGTGCTCATTGATCCTGGTCAAGGTGGCTTTTTTGTGGATTTCTTTTATTAACATGTGTCATCTAGGTGATATGACTGGAATGGTAATGCCTGATTTGTAAAATAAATAAATAAATAAAATAATAAATCATATTTTTAAGGTGGGCAGCTTCCTTGGGCTTATTTCAGATCTGGATGCTTGCCATCTCTGAAAATAAGGTTACCAAATAAAATGTTTTGACATAGTTTTTCCCTGTCAGATTGTTTGGGGTTTGATGTCTCTCCTTCTTATATCTGGAAGATGCTTCAGTGAGGGAGCTGCTACTACATAAAGCGCTAATTCTTCAAGACTTAATTTGCATATCCTTGCTGTTATTATTTGCAAATTATTGAACTCTCCTTACCGCACTAGTGAACTTAAACTGTTCGTACGCTCAGGCTGGTAAATAGTAACCGCTGATATTCTGTGATAAGGGAAACCCTTAGTGGCATGGTCTGTTGAACACTAGAAGAAAAAATCACCAGCCAGGTGATCGGAGTCACTTTTTCTTACTCCTGTGCTCAGGCCAGTAAAAATGCTGTCTCTTTTTTGTGGTCAGAGTCAGATGGCAGCTGTCAGCGCAGAGAAGCGCTCAGCTGCATGCAGGAGGTTGGAAGACATTGCCATCTTGGGTTTAGTACCACTGGCAGCACCGGGGGCTGTGCTGCTGCCTCGTACCAGTACCGTGGGATCCTCCCGACAGGAGCAGAGATCTTGCTGTCGCTGTACTTCTCACTTGCCTCAGAGGTTGGCCACTGCCAGTGGAGGGGTCTGGAATGTCACATAGACGATGAACTAACGAAACTTAAGCCTTAGCCACTTACTATGGTTCTAGTTATTTTCCTTACACATATCACTTTTAAAATGAAGTTGAAGTATCTAAATATGCTATTACTCATCTCAAAAGCTAGGTGTGGTTGGTAAGGGACTGATTTTGAGCACTGCAGTTTAGCTCTGTGTTGTTGATGTAACTGTCAAAAGTTAAACTCTTGTCTCTTGGGTACTAACTGCAGAATTGCTGGTACTTTCCAAGAGCCCCCAAATTCCTTCCCTTTCATTTTGCTTGCTTTTAATTTAGCATGCTATTTAACAGTTATTAAACAAACATGTTCAATTGAAAAAAAAAATCAACACAAATGAACACATCTCTTTTTCAGTTGTAGATTTTTCTGTTTGTTCAGTGGACCCATCTGGAATTTGGCTTCAGAAGTGAGGCAGACACCTCGAACATACACCTCTTAGAATTTCTGAGGAAGTTTTGATCAGCTCGGCAGGTCGGTTTGCTCTGGAGTGGAAATATGCACATTCAGGGTGTCTGCTTTCCATATGAAGCCAAGTCCCAAATCTCTCTCTCAATTTTGAGAAATGTTGTGACCCTGTTTGTTAAAATTAGCTATTGACTTGCCTGAAGGCAGAGTGAATATACTTTATGACATGGACTGTCTGTCTCTCTCTTGTATTTTAAGCACTGGAAAATAAAAATTCTCTGCCCGGTTTTATTGCTTCTTGGCCAGTTCACCACCATCATTGACAAGATGGCCTTCCGAAATGTTTTCTGTCCTTTCTGGCCTGCTGCCTCAAGATGCTTAGCTGCTTTCCCATAGCCCTTTGTGGGTGGAGCGGATTCCCACTGCGGAACTAGTTTGTGTGTGCTCCCTTGGAAGTGATTGAGGAAGGAATTTTGTTTTAAAACTTTTAAGAAGCTAAAACAAACAATGTCTCCCAGCGTGGGAGTGGACCAGATCCCATTGGCTTCATAACGGGAGATGGTTGAATGGCAGGCTTTCGCTGCAGGCACTTTATTAAAAAATTCTTCTAAGATGTGAAGTTTTCTATATTAGATATATATATATGTATGTATATAATTCTGTTTAAATAAAGGTTTGTATTTAAAACAAAAAGCATGAGGTTATGGCTTTGCTCTGACTGAAGTCTTCCAAGATAAGCACTGATAGCACTGATAAGCAGCACTTACCAAGCAGACTTCCAAACTGTACCTGACAACAAGGCTGGGGTGGGAAAGAAAAACAAGACAAGGAGTAGCTGTAAATGCCATTCTGTGTGTGTTTAAGAGTAACATCTTTCTTTCCAAAGGTCTAGTGCTTCTGAGTGGTTCGTAGTCGTTACTTGCAGAGTTGTTTCCAGTACCTGCGCCAGTGGAGTCTGAGTTACTGGTGCTAGTCTCTGCAAGTTACTCTATAAATAGGATAAGTGTTGTGTAATTTTAGTCATGGTATAGTCAGTTAAGCATGATGATGAATTATCTCTGGAAAAATGTAAATCATTTGACATCTTTATATAAATTGGCATAGGAGGAACATGTGAGGAGTGTACCCTGAGGTAGGATTTCTGTATTTTTCAGGAAATACAGGGTTGCTTTTGAGTACTTTGCTGAAATATCCCTGGTGCTTGAGAAAAACGCTGGCTTGTTGTGTCTCATTATTAATGGTGCGTATCGTACCTTCAGAGTGCAGAACTGCAGCACATCCGTTAATGTAATGATGTCTTTCATTTGCATAGTAGCTTGTAAGTACAAAATGAAGATGGATGGCCTGACTGATGTATTTTCTTTCTAACCCAGCAGCATTTCAGCCCGTGGCCTTCAGACCCCTGTCACTCAGGTGCTCCTTCTGTGCTGCCTTCCACAAACCCCTTAAAAAGTAACTCTGTTGTGAGAAGGCTTTAAGTCTGTTTTTTTTTTTTATAAAGGAGGCCTGGGGGGTTCTAGGAAAACAAAACAAAACAAAAGGACTGAAAAACCACTGATTTCACCTGTCAGAACAGAGGAAACCTCCCTAGGTATCCTTGACACCAGGAGGGCCACTTGATGTCTGTCTCTGTAACTGCTTTCTTCTTAGCTTATAGTGTGCCCAAGTCAGTTATTGAGAAAACTTCACAAATTGCTGTGTTTTGTTTTGTTCCTGTTTTCCTTTTTTCCTACTCATGTCTGCTTCTTTCAGCCACGACTTCTGTTGGCAGCCAGCTGCCTTGCGGTGCCTCTGTTCTCCCTCCTGTCCTCATCCCGTGCTCATCTTCTGTGGTCAAGCCCCTCCACATACAACAGAGAATAAAATGAAAGCTTTCATGTCACCCTTCACATCTGTTTCCGTCTCCCCTGGCAATTTCTGTTTCCACACAGCTAAGTGACTGGTTAATTCCTCTGAAACATCGCCTTGCGTGACCTTTGGATGCTTCCCCTCCAAGGCCAAGCGGCTGTTTGACCGTCCTGGACAACTGCTGCTGCTCAGCTCATCCTCTGGTTTCCTCAGGGCTCCTTCCCACCCACCATCACCTCCTCTTCCTTAAACACTGCTCTCCCTCCTGCAGGCCTTTTGCTGCCTCCCGTCTGTGGACAACCCCTGTTTCTGCTCCAGCCTTTGTTTGCTCTGCTCTCTGGTTGGGATGTCCTCAGTATCCTTCCTCCATGCCTCCATTCTGCTGCTGGAGAAAATTGTAGGAGTGCACTTTCTTCATGAAAAATTTCTTCTTTTCTTTTCCAGGCAGCACTGCTTGCCAGCTATGCTGATTCTTAGCTTGTTTGCTGTTCTGTTGTGGACTTTTTTTTTTCTTTTTAAGATCTTACCAGCTTTTATTAAAAAGAGAAGGTCTTCTCTTGCTTTCCTCTTGGTACAGAGCAGGTACTCACCTGCTTTTTAGCCCCACTGCCTTATGCATCTCATGCAGATTCAGTGTTTTCTCCGAACCAGCTGTAGAGTTTGGCAGGCGTTGGACCTCAGCTACTCACCTATTTATCATGAGATTGGCTGACATCTGATTCTTTATTACCTTGGTTTCTTTATTTGTAAACCAAAGCGGTTATATGCATCACGGATTGCAGAAATTAATTGCTGGAGGTTAACTGCTGTTCTCCTTTGGAACGGTAGAGAAACACAAGAGCCCCAAACCTCACCACCAGAGCAGTTCTGAAGACGTGGCTTGGGTAGGGAGCAGGGCAGGCAGCCCGCTGTGTGACTCCTCACATCGTGCTGCAGGCTGCTAGAGCCCTGTGTTGCCTCGTGTCCCCACCATAACTGCAAAATAGATCTTAAGAGCTTAAAACAAACAAACAAAAAGTCTACCAAGCCTGATTTAATAAAGAAGAGAGGCTTGTTGTGCTGTGGTGCTTCACACCAAGGGAAGAAATTTAAATTTAGGTGGGAATTTTTTTGTGTTCTTCTCCTTGTTTTGTGGCTTCTGAAAATAACCTTTCCAATAAAATTGTTATGTCATTTGTGTTCTGTAGAAATTATACATGGCAAAGAAAATCAGAATCAATAATTGAAAGACAGCAGAATTGTTTCTGTGGATGCTCCTGAGGGTATGGCTTGTAGGTGAGAGGAAGCGATTAACCAAGGATGAGACCAACCCAGCTTTGTTGATTGAGCAGTGTTGCCAAGGCTTTAAGAAAGTATCCCGAATAGACTGCGTGATTTGTGTTGCTGCTTTTGTTGATGCATGTTTTTAATTTCCAGCCAGTTGCAACAAGGCTTGAAACGCTATTTAAATGGCAAAAAAAAAGAGAAAAATATGCAAAATTGTAAAGAAGAAAGATCATTCTTTCACCTTCCTAAATTTTTGTCTAAATGCTTCCATGCAGAACTGTTTACCCACCGCACCCATGCCTTGGCAGGGTAACGTTGTATTTGCACGTGTGGTTACCATTGCAATGTTCCTCAGCAAGAGATCTTTGTGCCATGTGTTAAGTGCTGCTACAGCAGTGCTCTGTGAAATGATTGGGTTGGCAACGGGGTTGGTTACGTTAAAGAAAGAAACACAGAATCAAGTAACTTGCAAACACTAACTTGTCTACAAACACAGAATATAGAAATATTCCTGACATCTGTATTTGCACTGGCTTAATCTATAGAGGGAAGAAGCACAGATGAGTGCTAGAAGTTACTGTTCAAGCAGCTGATTATCTTAACCATCCCTATAAAGGTCAGTGTCTGGTGTCCCTTCAGAAAATCGTATTTCCTAAGGCCTGCTGAAGATGTCCTAGACTCCCATTGACTACAGACACGAGGGTTGGAACACCCATCTTACATTAGCGGTGGGCTGTGCCAAGATCCCTGATGTAACTGAGCTGTGCTGTTACTTGCTTTATTTTGGTGGAATATGAAACTCGAGTTTGGCTCTGTTCATTCAAAGCACCTCATAAACTGACATCTTTATGTCATCTGTTACATTTTCTTTTAGGGATGATTAATTGGTTTCACGTAATACTTTCTTAATTGTCAGCTCACAATGCCTGTTTACATTTTTTCTTTGTGTGTGTCTAGAGACGTGTACTAAATTAATGGGAAAGCAATTAGCCAGACTCCAGATTCAGTGCTTGACTGACACCTCTAACTGTGAGCATTACAGCTGTCTGCCTGGTCTGCACAGCTCCTGCCTGACTTCTAGATGAAACCAGGGATGAAGATGCTAAATCCCTCCATAGTGTAGAAAACCCTGGTGGATTCGCTGGAGGCACGGAGGCTAACATTTACCTGATGATATGCAGGAGGGGTTGTGATGGCTCGTTATAGGGTCTGATTTAGCTGCAGTTTTGCACTCGTGTCCTTGCTTTCAAATAGAAGTAAATGTGAGCCTAACCTGGCTGTGGCATTGAGCTGTTTTCCCATATGTTTTTCCCTCCAGCTCGGTTTTGTACCAGTCTGAATGCGCTTACATGGGAGACACCAGTTCAGTTGGGTTTGTTCAAACTGTGTGTGTAGAAACATGGGTGGGAAATGTGAGCTTTGGAGCTGGTGTTCTGGCACAGGTTATGTTGCAACTGCCCCTAGATGGCCTGAATGGAAATCAGGATTTGGAGAAGGCCATTTATCGCTTTTATGACAGCCATAAAGTCTTGTAAAGAAAGAAAAAGGGGAAAAACCCAACCCTACCCTACACTGAGCTCGGTCGCCAGAAGGGAGCGCAGGGCAGAAGGCAAGCCAGGCTCCCAGAGTCGTGTTCCCTCCTCACCTTTGTGCCTGCTTGACACGTGGGAGCCGCTGCTGGGCCACTTCGGCTCAGCCACCCGGTGGAGAGCCGCTCGCTGCTGGATTAATGAGTTAATTGATTCAGTGAGTATTAGAGCTGGCACAAAGGAAGGGGTGGGGACCTCCCGGCGGCGATACGGATGTGTTGTGCAGACTCCTGTTCATGGTTTGAAGCAGCCTGCAGCCTCGCTGCCGTGTTTGTGGTGGTTCTGGTACGTGTCAGCCACGTGACGAGCGTGGGCAGGGTCCCGATGGGCTGAAAGTAAGTGGTTTGACACCTCTCCGTCCCCAGCTTTGTGCTGTATCACCTCGCTGCACAGCCCCACGGGTCCTCGTACTGTGCTGGGGCTAACCCGGGGTGAGGTGGGGGCCTGGGTTACCCAAAAAGGTTAACACCAGGGCTTCAGCTTACTTCAAATGATCATAATAACTGCAGGTTTAGTTAAGTCCTCATGTTGTTTTGCTTATTCCCCAGGCATATATATATATTGAAATGTTGCAGTGTAAATGAAAACTTCATGCTGGAGGAGGAATTTCTTCCTTTTTAACTGCTCAGAAATGCGTTTAGTGACAAGTGGTAGCAAAAAGTAGAAATATATAGACTGATGGCAGTGCTTCCTGTCAAGAAATAGATTATGGAGACTTGGGGGAGTAGGAGGCTGTTGTTCTCAGGGAAACTATTAAATTGCTGCAGAAACCTTACTCCCAATGATAGGGACTGTATCCTGTTCCTTATCAAATAAAGATGTTAATCATCTTTTATTAGTTGTCATACTGTACTTATCACCACGGTGTCTCCATAAATACATCTGGCAGCCGCATTTTCCAGGCCATTTATCAAGATTTATATCCTGGAAGTGGTTACTCTGAGGCACCATGTGTTCATGCCTGCAAGGGGCTCTTCTCACAGCTAACAC